ATGAGAAGCCTCTTATTCACATATAAGCGGAAAATTTACGACCGAAAGGAGTTCTAAACGCATTTTGTGGATAAGTGCGCTTTTGAAAGTGCATTTTAGATTGCAGATATGCGCCGTTCTCGTTATTTCAACGAAAAACAGTAACTCGGAGCCGAAAGGTTTTTAAAACCATTTGCGAGAACTTACATTTAAAAGAATAGCAACAAAAGAACAGAACGGATGTGCACCTTAGTTGTGGATCTAATATTTCTCGAAATAAAACCTGCATTTACATCCGCGTAACCATTCAACTCTAACGATTTTGTCATATTTCTCTTTCTATGGAATGTTTGTTAACGTGTCTTGCAGGGAGGGAACATGTTACAAATTCTATGTTGTCATTCAGTACAACCATTACGAGAGAATCTAATGTTCAAAAATACATGGTCGACGTTGTGTATGAAGGACGTGATTGACTTGAATGTATATTTTCATTTGGTTAACCTTTCTAAATTTGAACCCAATTACAAAATTTTGTATTTCTGCTTTTGGAAAATATAATTTATATTATTCATTGTACACGAAATGGTATATCGCTATATATTCTCAGTTTATCAGTTTGAAAGTTTCCTATAAATAAAACGACTGTAGTTCGATGTATTTATTATTTTTCGTAATACTGCACTCGTATCGACTTCACACAATCGCCCACTGTTCACGGCCGGCATCCGTTAAGAAGAAACAAAACAAATGATAAAGGTGTACTGGTTAAAGCTGCACTGCACTTACGTAAATACAAAGCATGCACTACACTTACGGGACTAACAATCTTAACCATTGACACGCCAGGAAAAAATAATAAATCAATCGACTAGTGTATGGTTGATTACAATAGGCAGAATAAGTTCCTCGCAGATTCTATTGTTCATATCATGACAAAAATGTTAAAAACATGTTTCTCCAAAAACTGTTCTTGCATGGGGAAATTGTGTTAGTTGTGTGCGTGCATTTTCAAAGCTGTGGAGCGAGGCCGCCAATGAGGGAGAAGCGCCAAAGGATCGTCCCTCGCGGAGTGGCAGGGCACTTGCCAGTGGTCGGCGATAACAAAAATCTTGTTCGCTAAGGCAGTATTGCCGTAGCGAACTCGGACCGAAGGATCGCGGGTTCGAGTTCCGCCTCGGGCATGGTTGTATTGTGTTTCGTCCTTTCACCCCCTATCATCATCATTATCGTGTCAACCCACAGTTACCATACCGTTACAAGCAATAGTGGTCGCTAATGACCTAGTAGTTGATGCGATCTTAAATTTAAAAAAATCTTGTAAGCGAGGCGTGCGTGCGAGGGTAGTGCGTCTGCCCTTATGATTCGTCGTTGGTTGCGCCGCAGATCGAGATACTTTTCAGATTTAAATCTTTGAATGTCTTCGAATTTTTTTTAGACCGACGCAGTCTGACAAATGCTTTTGGTTTTCGTTTCTGCCACAAATCAATTGTCATCGTGACCAAAAATCGCAAGTGCGCTCAGGATTGCGAGTGCGTGTTTTGACTAGAGAGATCGAGAGACGAGTGCTTCAAATTCTACATTGGATACATTATTAGTTAAAAGGCATAAATCTTCAATTTGCAGTGAAAAAAGGCACTAGATCATGAAAATGATGGCAAGGACCCTGCAGATTCGTTGCAGCTGCGTTTCACACTGACAACTAAGCCCTAACAAACAAACATATGGTAGAGGTCATACTATGTAACCCCCTTCCAGTTGGTTGAAGAGCCAGAAAACTGGTACAACCATGTGTACTGAAATATAATAAGGGATAGGTGAATAGGTGATAGATGAGATATAAATAAATAAGGTGATCTGGAACCAGAATACGGCGATCAGTCGGTAACGACTACACAAGACGGTCAGTGTCTGGCACAGCTGCTACAATGGCAGTTATTACGATTTCAGTGAGTTGAAACATGTTGTTTTAGTCGGCGCACGTGAGATGGGGCATAGTATCTCAGAGGTCGCGATGAAATTTGGATTTTCCCGTACGACCACATGACGAGTGTACCGTGAATATCGGGAATCCGGTACCTCAGACATTCGAAATCGCTGTGGGCGCAGAAATATCGAGCAAGAACGGGACCGATGACGACTGAGGAGAAGCATTACACTTGACGGAAGTGCAACCCTTCCGCAAATTGCTGCAGAAACAATGCTGGTCCATCAACACGTGTCAGTGTGCGAACCATTCAACAAGACATCGATACGCGTATGGGGTTTCCGAGCAGAAGCCTTACTCGTGATTTATTCGTATTTGATAAAATCGAAAAGCTTTTGTATTTCCTCATTGCTAATAAGCCAAGAATAAGATGAAACATCTTGTTTCCTTGAGTTATCTTCGAAACCGAACTACAAATTGCATGTACTAAGGTGATTAAATAGTCCTGCAAAAATGATTACAAGCCTTTGGAATTATAAAACACATGGATTTACATACAATTAATTTTACCCATGAGGATATACTTTACCTTAAAATATGAAATTGCAGATGCACTGCGTTGCTTCACATGCACAATTGTACTTTCACGCGATAACGAGCTTGCAATACACATACGTTCGATCGTCGGCATGTCTTGTACAAGGCCCATCTCCACCCACGTCTCATAGTTTACTTCTATCCTCCACATCTTCTTCGGACCCACTTACCTTCCCCCGTGAATTTAATACGGATCTTATCGTAGACCGAGGGCATCAAATAAGGGCACAGCATATGGAGGGTCGTGTATTTGTTCAGAAGAATTGGCATTGACAGGACCTTGTTGTCAGAATTCAATTATCTTTATTTGAATTTTTTTTAATAACAGTCATTCTTCTTACTTCTTAAAATGATCGTTCTTTGCATCTACAGACTTAAAAAGAAACAAGCTGTTACTTAGAAAAGAAGAAAATTAGTAATCGCTCTTTAGAATTTATTCCTGTATCCGTAAATTTCATTTCAAAAGACTTACTGTGAGAATCTATGACAAAGATCAATCTCTTACTATAACTCTTTCTCTTGCTAGTATTTAACAGATCTTGTAGCTGGCTCTCTTATCGTAATCTCCATACCCCTCTATCATTCCAATCAATCTCTTCTAACATTTTTTGCATATCTTTAAAAACCTGATCTCATATTCCTCTCTAGGTCTACCTCTTTTTCTTCTGTCCAATGGAATCCACTCACAAACCTCTCTGAGCCATCTCTCACAATCAAGCTAAAATCGGTCTTTTTCAGTTTTCTCAAATAGGAAGCGTTCTCACTCTAAACATGGATTTAGTAATAAAAAACTACTGAAAATGCCATTTTTCATTTCTTAAAGATGTTGTTCATCAGTGGATGAAAATGAAGCATCTATTGACATATTTTTACATCTTTCGAACATTTTTGACAGCATTTGCCATAACATTTTGCTATTAAAATTACCTTCACGTGGATTTCATGATATTGCTAAAGACTGGATATTCTCGTACCTCAAAAATCAATAGCAAAGAGTAGAAAACTGTACTGGCATAAAAGAAACAATTGGGAAATAATTGGATAGTGGAGTAGATATTTGAGTTTGCGGTTCCGCAGGGTTCAAACTTAGGACCTATCCTCTTCCTTTTATACTTACATGGTATGCCCTAGTTCATTAGCAACGAAAGAAGAGTTCTGTTTGCTGATGACACGAATATTCTAAAAAAATAAATAGAACGATTTCGGAGGGTTCAAATTGGTTTTATAATAACAAATTAATAGTAAACGAATTAAAATATGTTTCAATGTAGTTTTGTATTTCAGACAGTATCATGCGCTATTGAAAATAAACTATATACGGTTGACTGTTATTAAGGTAATAACATTTCTGGGTATCTCAATTCAGTCAAAACTCAAATACAATATCCATACAAATGAATGGATCAAAAATTAAGTTAAAAATGTTAGACATTCTGAATTCTTTCAAATTCGGTTAGCATACAATTCGTTGGGTGAATTTTACTAATATGCATTCCCATCTCATATGTGGCATAATATTCTAGAGAATAATATAGTACCGAGACTTTTAGATCACAGAAAAAATTGTACGAATAATAAACAAATACCATCCGATTGATTCCTTTAAGCCTCTCTTCACCGAGTTTTGCTTTGCTTATTTTCTTAGGAATCTGTAGTTTTCGTCAGAACGGACTTAAAGGTGGGAACATATTTTTATGGAATAATGATATTTATAAATACAATACATGTCTTAGGAATCATATCAATTTCAGGTCAGTATCAATAGCGCACAGCAATAAATCCACGAATAATACATGTACGATGCTTTACAGCACATTGCCAGATGACATTAAACAATTAAAATCGATAAACAAATTTAAGTGCCAAGTAAAATATTTTCTATTACAGAACTGTTTATATACAGTTAGATACTACACTGTACTGTAAAAGAAAATAATATTGATCTAAACAACGAAATTTAAATCTGCCTGTAATAAGTAATATGTTTCAGCCTATGGGTCTATAACACCATCTCGATCAGTTTTTTCGCCCAGTCTCTTTCATCCATTGAACAAATCCAGAGATGGCCCCTTGTTTTTCTTCTGGGCATGAATGTAACTTCACTATGCGCATGTTTTGTTGATCTTTACTTTTTTAATTCGTGGTAGGAATAGATTGTGATTATGTTGTTGTTTTATTAACATTACAATAAAATCAAATCTATACCATTGTTTACCGAAGTACAAACTATTTCTACCACAGGAGCGAAAATGCCTGGTTTTTATGTCGCTAACTTCGCTTTTGGGATACTTTTATTCATGAATAAACTATGTAGTGTAGTAAAATGCTAAGAATTTATCCTGAGGCTTAGTAAAACGTGCGAAGATTTTAATTCTCTATAAGTCACATAAAGTTTTTAGTTTTTTAACGAAAATAATTAAAATTTAAAAAAATATTTTGTTTTTATTCTGTTAACCCATGTTTTATTGATGTGCTAAAAATTTCAATTTTTCTCTAGGTTTAGATCCTGCTTTGCCTCTATTTGGCACTCCTTATAAATCTAGCAAACTTGATTCTAATGATGCCGAATTCGTGGATGTAATTCATACCAATGCAGGTCACAAGGGAAAGTACGAACCATGTGGTGACGTTGACTTCTACGTGAACAGTGGCTATAACCAACCTGGATGCGAATCACACCCAGATGGTAATTATTCAAGGAGGTTAGAGATGGGACATCATGCGTTTTCTAGAACTTGAATCATAAATTTTCTTTGATTCATCTAAACTTTTAATATAATACAATTTTCATCCATGATGTATTAACATAAATAAACTAAACCCTTTTAAGGTAGCAAAATAAATAAAATGAGACAAAGAAACAATGCTCTTAGATGATCGGCATTTGCTGTAACTGAATGACTAAAGTCAAGAAGCAGTCCCTTTTTTCTAACATATAAAAGAAAAAATACCCGTACTATGTTTCATATAACCAAGAAATGTAATTGTAAAGCCCGTAAAATACAAACATTGAGCGGTCAGGAACTTAAGAAAAGCTTAGGATTCAAATGACAGGGAAAGGGGAAATAGCATAATTCCGAATATTTGAAAATACATGGGGATATACGAAGATTTAAGTGTCCCAATTGCAAAAGTAGCATGCAAAATGTGGCCATGAAATTTGATATTGCTTATTGATAACTATGTGCTGTATGTTACAGGAGAACCAAGTTGTTCTCATGCACGTGCGCCAGCTTATTTTGGAGAGTCAATTAACACCAACGTCGGTTTCTACGCTCAAAGCTGTTGCAGTTGGATTATGAGTGTCGTAGGATGGTGCAGCGATAACACTGAAAGCTCAATTTTAATGGGAGAATATACACCAAGAAGGTAAATAACACCAATTAGCGAGTATCGCCGAAACTTGAAGATCGCCAACTTATTTCTTCCTTAATGTTGGGGAGATTCGAGGCTGTTTGACTCCAGCTGGTAGTTTTTAAACTCTTTTTACACATCACCGGTTGCGTTGCGAGATTGGTTGTGTCTATAGAAACTACAACTACAAGGCTACCTTATGGAATTTTTTATTCGTGGATGTTTTACTAATTCTTATAGCCTTTAAGCAGTAATTGACGAAGTACGTAAAAAAGGAAATGGGCTTGATTAGTTTCTTGTCAAATAGTATACTCAATTATATTTTCAAATTACATTTTCAGCGTTTAATTAGTAAAATCACTTACAATAACAAGTACAGCTAGAGATGTGTCGTTCATGAACGAACTAGTTCAAAGAACTAATCTTCGTTAAGAGCGTTGGGCTGGAGCCGCGTGGATGGTACCATGAAATTTCTCCTATACTGTGGTTGGGGGCCTCTCGTTAAGCCTAGTTTGTGAACCACATGATCTTCCCCACTCACGAGCGAAGTAGTTTGCGAGCGAAAAGAAAGAAATAGGCATATCTAAAAAAATTCATGTTTACATGCGATGTAACGATTACTACAAAGTAGCGATTACAAGTTTATATCAAGGAGAAAATTACGAGTAAAACGTAATACATTCTGCTAAAAGTAACGACTGCATTCTATAATTATTAAGAAAATAATCGCTGCAAGTAATTTAATTACTTATACTCCATTACATCCCAACTCTGTCCTTAAGGCATCAAGTCTAGGTATGCCAACCAGTAACTTGGAACAGGTTGGCTTTCACCTTCGGGTATAGTGCCTTATGGTAGGTTGTGCCTGTGGTAGGTTGATTTCCTACTTTCGTTGGAGTGGGAAATAATAAAGTGTCGAAATTAATTTTTTTCGTTTGACGAATTCGTGCAGAAAAGTTTTTCACATTTGGTCTTACAGAACAATTTGACACAATTTTGCCTCAAAAGTATAATATACCGAACAGAGATTCGCACCCTCCGGCGTTAGTTAAAATCATAACGGGTGTTTAGCTTCAAATGTATATTTTTATTACAAAAAGAATGTACACATTTTTTGTTCCCCAGGTCGCTTTTTTCTTCCCTGGTGACCACGCTTTTCTGAAATTTTCGTCATGGACTGAGCCCCCTTGGCCGTCGGACTGGTGGCAGACTATTGCATTACTTTTTTATCAGGAACTTTAATTTGTAGTGCATCAATAATCATCAGTAATCATCGTGCATCATCTCTGCAGTACAATCAGTTTTATAGAAAAAGTAGCTTCCACGATTTTTTTGTATTATCTTACTTTAAACATCTTGAAGGTAAATCGTACAACAGAGAGTGAACACGTTTTGAAATGAATTTTGTTACTTAATTATGTATGTCAATGAACATAAAAATATTAAAAAATATTCAAATCCAGATCTTCAATGTCTCAGAATTCTTCGTATGTATCGATGAGGAATTTTCACCCCTTTAAAATTAAGATAAATGGAACATTTTCACTCATCGAACGCGAATTGGAGTAAAATTAAATAGGATAGATGGGGTGAGGTTGGCGCAAGGCGCCCGTTGGGACTCATGTCCTACTTTGGCTACTCGCTTGCTGACGCCCTAGCTTTGTGTCATTTCATGACCGAACAAGACTCGCACAAAAGCCTCGGTATAATTCGTGCAAAAATGATAGAATGATTTCAAATGTGTTTTAGAGTTTGGAGAATAATCTTTTTTTAGCTCAATTAATTTCCGCAATATTGTGAAAGAAATATTTGTGCATCTCAGCTGAAACTTTCAGCCATGCGTTTGATTTTCTATATCAGGTTTTTTAATTTTTTACTTTTTACTTCCCTTCTCACGTCTTTGGGCATCTATAATACGCGGTCGCAAATAGTTGGCATTTTTCATTTGGTTGGTGTTTATTTGGATGGTACAGTGTCAACCAGCTCCATCCTCCAACTGCCAACCATTTCCAAATAATAAAAAGATGTTGCTGTTGTTTATATTCACACCTAGGGTAAAACCAATACTAATTGCCACATTTCACAATATTTTCTTAGTATTCTCGTAATTCTACCTTTCGTAGTTTGTTACTCGTATGTCAATCTCATAGAGTAATCGGTATAGTTCTTTCTGAATAGGTTCCTCCGGTAAAAATGGTAAATTCTTAATTTGATTAATTTAAATTTTAATTTATTTCTAAACAACGAATTCGCTCCAAAAGCAGCCACTTAAAAATAGAAACAAATTGGTTGTAATGAGGCACCCGTTTTAGTGATAGCCATGAGATATTCTACTCTCTGAATGCGCCTCAGTAAAAAAGTTTAAAAAAGTACCCTTCATGTTACACTATTGTAATGCCAATATTTATAAAATGTTTTCAACGTAATACTTTCTACAAATATGTAGTAAGAGAAAGTATTGTGACGGCAATTTTTCGACAGAAAAATCTGGTAACGAAGAAATTGACATTTTCCCCACATGTAGTAAATTACTTCCTCTTATTATGAAATCGTTAACGTTTTCAAAAATTTATCAAATATGACATATGTCTCATATTCATGAAATATCAGAATTTTTGAAAATTGGAAAAGTTCACGATTTTTTTCTCTTCCTACAACTACAATATTGAAGGTAGAGCTTTTTTCCTTTAATGGAATATGTTGTTTAAAAACAAGTATTCTAGGTCTTTATTTAAAGTCATTTACAATTTTTCGAAAATATTAATAGCTTTTGCGTAATTTTGCGTGAAATATAGAGAATTATCAAACAATTACAACACGGCTTCAAATATTTCGTTCATTTGTTTCGTCATAAGTAGCAAAAGACGGTAGAAAAATAAGTGCTGGTCCCATTTTTGTTGAACATTCTGTATTTTCAGAAATTGCAGAAAATTAACATTTCAAAAGCACTATATTGATGGTAGAGATATTTTGTTGAATGAAATCTATCATAAACTAGAGGTGCTTACACGGCTCATCATTTCTAACTTTTACAATTTTTAAAAGTTCAGATAGGTCAACGAAAGACCTGTGACATTCTTTAAGCGTCCCGTGTTTTATCCATGAAAAAAATTGAAGAAAAAATTTGGAGCGGTATTTGAGAAAATTATTTTTAAAATCTGGATTAATATTAAGAAGAAATTGCGAAAAATACATTCGTCTTTGTTTAAAAAAACAAAAAAACAATAGAACAAATTTTATTTATTACAATTATTTCTATCTTCAATTTTATAGTTTGTCGATGTTTACTCTTAGCAATATTTGAAAATAAAGAGAGTTCGCTAGCGATGGGAATAGCACCACAGGAAGAAGAAATTTGTAGACATTTTTGAGAAAATAAATGTTTAAAAATTGTCTAAATGTCTTGCAAACTTTCATGAACAATACACTACATTTTTGAAAAATTGTACATGGTCTTACTTCAAGATCTGTCATTCAATAACAATCTAATGAAATAACGTAGAAGAGAGTTTGAACTTTTGCAATTTTTGGAAAATGAATAATATCAACGATAATATGTCCTCGACATTCTTTTAAACGTTCTTTACACAACTAGGTGTTAAATGAAAATTTGGAGCATTTTTGAGAAAATTTTGAAAATGTAATAAAGAACGGCCGGTCGGTCGGTCGGTCGGTCGGTCGGTCGGTCGGTCTGTCGGTCGGTCTGTCGGTCGGTCTGTCGGTCGGTCTGTCGGTCGGTCTGTCCGTCGGTCGATCGATCGATCGATCGATCGATCGATCGATCGGACGGACGGACGGATGAATGTTTTGCCGTCAGTCGATTTTTCAGTATCAATGACTTATGAAACATTGCTTCACAACGTATTAGAGAAAGTACTTAACAATAACTACTCTCTCACGAAAGTAGTGTGACTACTCCATATTATGCCAATTTATCTCAGGTATGTAGCAATCAACCTCCACTTGTGGGACTGCTTGCTACCTTGATAACTTTTATCGACCCTATACGTTAGAAAGTCCAACATTCATGAATAAAAACATCATAATGTAGCCTAATAAATGTCGTTTCCATTGATTGAATCAAACTTGTGAAAACGCAACTAGATTAACGTAAATACATTAATAACTACCAACTGGTACCGACCAGTCCCGTTCTCCCCTACAGTAGAACCTCCAATATTCGGAGTAATGACCGCCAAGTGGATGTAAAGCATCTAGACAATGGAACTAATGTTTTTTTGTTAAAATGTTTCAATTAAAGGGTTAATGAATAGGACATGTGAACAAATGGTTTAAAGTACCAGGAATGAAAAAGAATGGACCAAAATCAATAAATTTATAAAACGAAAAAAATGTTACTTGTCTTAACAAATCATGTCTTTGAAAGCTTGATATGAATTTTATTCACTAAAATTCGTTAAATTTGTTGACGATATTTGAAAATATGGACGATTGTCATGAAATCGTCCAGTACATGCAATGTATTGAACACACCGAAATAAGGAACAAATTGAAAATAATTTCATTCAAATTTCAATTTCATTCAAATGTTATAATTAATAATGAATAATTATTATGAATTTCCTGTTGCAGTGCGCGAGGTACATACTACGTGACCACACGAGATATGCCACCATATGCTCTGGGCAAAAATAATAATGCTTGTTCTAGCTAGAGGGGCGTCGATATTCCAGAAGGATCACAATCAAGACTTTCGCAGACTTCTGGATCAATTAATTACTTACAAATCTCTCTCTTTTTTCGTATGTACCTAAAGTACCTTACGAAACTAAGTGGTTCTTATTCTCATTTGCTGCAGGAATTACTAATTTAATATTTATTGTCCAAAATTATGTAAGTTATTTAGTGTAATGTATACTAACCAATATTTAATTAAAAGTAAAGTACTCATGGTATCTCTTGTATGTAAATTGGTCTTGTAAATGACCCATATCAACCTTCTTTTGATTGAATATAGCAATTTCAGGATGTCCAAGTAGAAAAAATGCATTTAGTTATTATTTTCAGGGATTTTTACGTTTCAGAATCTATGAAATTAGATGCGATGTGGCAATATCGCTTGTCTGGGTGAAACTGCTACACATAAATACAACCATGCGCAAAAGAATAAACCCAGTGAAACTCCAAACCAAGTTTCACTGCTCTCAATGAATTTCTGTGGATACACATTATTAATTGAGAAAAGTAGCTGCTTGTGAGTACATTTTTTGCTCAGTATGAAAATTGAGCCCTCTCCAAACATCCGCAGAGCGTTTTGTGTGAGATTATAATATAGTATAGGCTCATCTTACGAGACGCAGTTGCTGGACAGTTGCCATTTCCAGTGAAGGGATATACATTTTTGATAGCGAGAAGGAAAGATAAGGTAGTAAGCCTTCCAGAAAGGGGTATTATATATAGGTGTTGTGGTAAGATATCTTTGGCATTTTTAAAATAATTAAAGATGTTGTCATTGCCAACAATGTTTTTTAATTCAATAGCAGCTTTCGATGGCTAAGCCATCGAAAGCTGCTATTGAATTAAAAAACATTGTTAGCAATGACAACATCTTTAATTATAAGGGGTATTATAGTGATTTTGCAGAAAGGACACATCCTAGAGGTAAGAGCGAGTTACTATTTTGTTAGCAATGCAGAAAAATTGAATTTGCAGTTTGTTTGCAAATAAGGTTTCTATAACTCTCGAACGAAAATGTCTAGTTTTTAAAATGTTGTTAATCACACGCTATTTTTTTACTTTATTTTTTTTAAGTTTTACCCATCTTTCCACTATTTATACTTAAAATGGTAGGAAGGGATTCTGGAACTCAAGAAAACGCGCGCAGATGATCTTTTCCCCCGCAGATGATACGTCACATTAAGTTTTCACTGTTTTTTGATTTGATTTATTTAAATCAAATCAGTTTGAGAAACTTACATGAACTGTACGAATTGTACAGTCTCTTTACAGTTGTTTCATTGGTGAAAAAATAAACAAACCAAACTAATCGATGAGTGGAGAATAGGGCAACCACCGAACTAAACAGTATGGGAAAGACAATTAATCCGAAGAGTAAAAAAGGAATGCTAAATTATTCCGCCATACATATAAAAGCAAAAATGCGAGAATATCGTATCCACATAAAGCAAGAGTTCACCGAGATAATCAGTTCCACAGATATATACACCACACTATAGTAAAACTTCGACAAACAAAATATAAATGTTTTTTCAAGGAGACGCGCTGATCAAAATTAAATCTTAGCAGCGTGGCCCTTGCATTCTCTGCGGGGTCGCGGCGGTCCCACAAGGCCTCTCTCTGACACATCCGAGGCAGAAGGAAGAACTGTAAAGGAGGCGGCCCCCCTTCTGTGCAGTTACACCACAGAGACTGCGAGGGGAAATATGTCCACCACAAGACGAGTGTATAACCCATCAGGATATAATGCAAGAGTGCTAGGAAAGTTTTCAAAAGCAGCAATCGGTGTCCTGGAAGGATTTTATTTTTCAGATTAGGGTAAGTTCAATATATTTCTGAACGATGGCCAAGAGTTGGTATTGAGAAGAAACTAGTGGTGTTACAACAGCCCATAGTCTCGTATTCTTTCCAACTTTTGCAATTTAAGATTTAAATAAAAATGAAACAAGTGCAATTTTAAGCGTAATTTCCTTTCTCCGCGGGAAACAAAATGAAGAAAAAATTGGAGCCGTTTTTGAGATTTTTTTAATAAATTGCATTAACGCCATGTAAAATTTACGCAAAAGCTGCTCTTTTAAAAAACTTCATGACCTTTTTTAAAAAACTTATGTTTAGAGCAGATTTTAAGACAAAATATCTTTCTTCAATAAATTATAGTACTTTTGCAATGTTATTTTTCCAATTTTCCAAAATACAGAAAATTTAAAAAAGGGATTAGCCCACATTTTTACCGTTCTTTGATACATACGAAGCGAAAATAAAGAAATTTTGGAGTCATTTTTGTGAAAATAATTGCTTAAAAATTGCCTATATTTCACGCAGAGTTGCGCGAAAACTACTCACATTTTTGAAAAATTGTAAATGACTTTATATCATGTGTTTTTGTACAACAGACTTCATAAGGAAAAATAATTTCATAATTGTAGTTCTAGGAAAATGCCGAAAAACCTTGAACATTTGCAATTAAACCGGAGATTTCACCAAAAATGAGATATATCCACTTTTCGTTTCCAGGGGTTGGCTATACATTTTCTGTTGAAAAATCGCTCATTCCCGGAGCATATTTAACTGGTTAAGGGAGGTTTTCGTTTATGCAGTGTTGTCCATTTTATGACACTTTTGATACTGATAATTCCGTCCTGAAACTAGTAAATTACATGACCTTAATATAACTATTAAAATACATTAACAATTACGTACTTATGGAAAAATTCACCAATAAATTAATATTAAACATTTTCATTGACAGATTCTTAGTTCCTCCTGCTTCCGTAAGTTAGACCTTTTCTTCTAAGATTAGACTGTATTCACAGTCAGCCTTGTAGTTTAAGATGATTCTAACTTTTTAAGGGTCGCTTTGGGTTCGAGAACGTTGAAAGAGAAAACACGGTGTCACCTGCGCGCTCTACAACGGCATCGGCCGCTAGCAGCGCGCGAAAGCGTGGAACTGGAGGGGAAATGGTGGGGAAGGGAGGGGTGGCATCGGCCGACTGGAGAAGTGCGATGCTTCGTCATGACGTCTAAAGAATCCTGGGGTGGAGGGCCAAGGAGGTCCGAGGAATCCGACAAATGTGGATGGTCACAACTTAGCGATCGGTGGTTCAATCAGAGTGGGAGACCTGAGCGTACCAAGAAGGCGACGATCACACGATTCATTGTTTCCTGTCCATAACGGCGGCACCTTCTAGGCCAGAACAAGTTATTTGCCGTAGGAAATGATGCGAGTGTTTGTGCAACATTTCACAATTTTTTCTAAAATGAACTATGGAGTGAAATACTGCAGATGGGTTTCCATTTATTTGTGAAGTTACGATTGGTAGAGGGATTAGGAGATTATTAATTTCCATAAGAAACTGAATTGGTTATGTGCCGATTTATTAGATCAAGTGCGAAAAAGTGCTGCGATGGTGCTGCGTGCTACTGACCTTGCTCGTGAACGCGCTGCGGCAGAATATTTGTACTCGAAAGTCACAACTTCATCTATGTGAACTACAGACTTTTGTAATTATTTTATTAATACAATTTTGGTGAATGTGAAGGATCAAGTTGCGAGAAGATGCAACGAAAGAGGCCGGAGAGAAGAAGACTGGCAAAGCGTAATAAAACTGTCTTCACTTCGGATTTTATAACGTGGCGCTTCAGAGCCTGTCTTCACGATGGAATATCTCACGGCATTTCGAGTCTTTCTCCATCATACCGCTAGTTGCCACTAAACACATCGCACTACTTGATACGGTTGCAATCATGCGACATCTAGCGGCGCGACCAAAAAAGACGCTAATGCCGTGAGTTATTCCATTGTGACGAGAGGCCCTGAATCGCCACGTTATTAAAACTGAAGTACCTCTCCAAGACCGGAAGATCGTCCAGGAAAGCTGCTCCTCACGTGTTCTTCACGAGGTGACTGTTGCACTGTGCGCAGTTCGCTGCTGAGCGGAAGGACGATAGATGTGACATCACCATGGGCAATCAAGTTAATGCAAGGTAAAACAATTTTTTTTATTTTTATTTTGTAAGGAGCCGAAAACCAACATAACTGATTAAATTGAACTGAATTCAACATACGAAATGTAGCAGACGAGTAGAATTATAGTGAAAGGGTTTATCTAGATTTTAGTGATTCTTGTACTTGATTTTAGCACCACTCATTGTACAACTTAGTGGCGCTACTAGTTTTTTCATAACGCATTTGTGCGAATGATTTTCAAGATATAACCTCCGAAGTTCATGAACTTGGACAGTGATTAAACAATATAAAAATTGAGACACTTTCATCATTCAGTAATGCTTGTATTTATTATTGCAAATCAGTATTTTCAACTGGTTGAAGGATAGCACCATACCTTTTCGGGTTGAAGTAGAGAACACGGTACACCCTCGTGAATTGTTTAATTGGTGATTCCGGGTGCATCGATTGCTAAGTTCACCGTTCCTGTAAGTGTACTGAGCGTTTTACTGTGGAAAGTGTCGTTCTTCCCCCGCTAGCTAGCGCGACCGTCGGCTTGTGGGGTTTTCCCAAACCAGGTGTCTCCCACGAGCAAGAAGCCGCTCCAGCCGGGACAAACTAAGCGCCCGACTGATCTCCAACATGTGTGGTTGTGTAGTGCACGTGAGTGTAATTGTAAGCGTAATCTCTCGTAAAGCGAGCCGTGGAGTGTGGGAGAAGAGGGGAAGAGTTGTTAGGGAACGGGAGACTGTAAAAGCGGCGTCTCTTTACGTCTTGCCCCTAACATTTAGAAACACGTTTTTCACTAAGTGAATAAAACTTACCAAAATGCTATTTCTTCATGATTCGTATCAGTTGGAAGAAATGTAAGAATCTTTTATTTTGCTTGTCGCGAATCGCATCCTTTTCCACAGAAAACTTACCCATACGAATTACATGTTTCTTACTTCACTTGTACTCAAAGCTGTCGGCAAAACTCATTCCACTTGGCCAACCTCATACGCAAACAATCCATGGGGTGCAATCCTGTTAATCGCGGCCAAACTCCGTCTCCCCCCCCCCCGCTTGGCACCACGTATAAAGACCCACATTCTTACCATCGTAACACACTCACTCGACTATTGCAAATTACAGATAATCAGAAGAACATAAGAAATGTAACTGTTCGACGGAATCTAAGATTGACAGCTACCTGTACAAAAGATCGAAATAAAACTGCAAAATTACCGCTACACAGCTTTTGCTTCAACAGACAGTAGTTAAGGCGCTTCG